GGCCGGCCCTGATTCCGTTTCAATTGCCTCTTCTCATAGGCTTTTGTAGGATGTGTGTGGCATGGGTGCCTGAGAGACAGAAAGATAAGGGATCATCTTGGACGTACATGTGCATATGTGGGGGTATCCACGTGTGATGAAGTTGAACATTGCTGGTTATTTGTTTAATTCAGATCTATGGCTGTCATAGACCTTTCGTGAGCCTCCCCATGGAGCATGCTCTTTAACCTCTAGGGAGGTCACATTTTTGTTTATGGAGTCATTTGTTTATTCTTTCCGCAGGCATCAAACAGCTACTGAAACAGGGATCAGTGCAGAAGGTATACAACGGACTGCAAGGATATTAAGAGTGAATAAAATTGGACTTTGTTTAAAATAAGCGAATCAGCGATATTTATTATCTGCAGGAGTTTTTTTGTGTGTGCTTTTATTTTCAATATGCAAGTTTGGCTTAATTTTTTCTTCTTCTAATGATCATTATGAAATGAGTAAGAGGGCTTAAGAATGTGTCCATTTTTGTTCAGAAAAGAATGGCCAGCAAAAGGTTTAATAATACCTCTCCCTTTGGGGATTTAATGTCTGGTGCTGCCGCCTGAGTTTCAAGAATTAAAGCTGCAAGAGGACTCCAGGAGCAAAAGAAACACAATATAAAGGGTTGGAGTTAATTGGTAGCTATTTCATTCAAAATGCCAACTGGAGAAGTCTGTTTTTAAATACATTTTGTTGTTATTTTTTCTTGACTCTTATTTCTTGTTGATTTAGTTACATTGTTGTCTCTTTCTTCCATCTCCATTTTGGTCACTTTCCCTTCACTTGCTGGTTTCTGTCCTTGGTGCCTGTGAGTTGGGTTGTCCGCCCATCAAGCAAGATGGATGCATAAACCTGCAAAAGAGCGATAAAGAGCAGTCCCCATAGCAATCTCCAGCAAGGAGCTTGAAGAAACTGAGTAGATTAGAGATTGGAGTAGATGAATCAAGGTTACACAAAGATCTAATTGTCCTTGAGAAAGTACATTTCCTCTCATTTAACTTGGGAATAATAAAATCTGGTATGAATACTTTACTATTTAGAAGGCACTTTTATATATCCGATCTCAGTTGACCTTATGATTAAAAAGCCTTTGGTTTGTGTTAGGAATCAGGATTTCCATTGGCTCTAAAAAATGAATTTAAAGTAGAAATGCAAATTACATTTGCCTCTCTCAGCAGCACCTCATTCAGAAGGTATGTGACCTGAGTACATTTGACTTTTCAACCTCCTTCACTTTTCTACCTCATACAGTCACATCACACTCTAGTTTTCGTACACCTTTGGACGTCATCTCAGCTAGCGAGTGTTTCAATGCTGTCGAACAATTTCTGTAGCAATGTGTGTGGAGCTGCTTTGCAGCCATCTGTGTAGTTCCAGCAGCATTCCCACCTTTGCTACTGTTTGCCTTTTTGTTGGATTTTGTCCCTGTTTTCCAAAAATGAGTGGGAAGGGTGAAAAATGGAAATTTCATCAATTTAGAACAATTAAGAACAAGGTGAAAAGCCACACACTTTTAACCTCAATCAGGTACTATTTACTTGAGTAGTTCAACCCCGTATTCACTTGTGAAGCAAAAGAAAAAAGGTTTTTTTGAAATGCTGAAAAATCTACCTTAGAAATCAAAGGAAACCACATAAATACATATGTAAGTTTAGTGGGCTTTTTGTACATTTAGTATTCATTGTGTACTGAGTTGCCCTAGTTGAGTATTTCATAGAAATACCAGCATTTCCTTTACATATCATAGCCCAGGAGAGCTCTTGATCATTATTTGCACTTGCTGATTCCCCTTTTTCCAAGAGTCAGTCATATACAAAGGGGGGATTACTGGTCTTGCTAGGAAGACCCTACAGAGATGCTCTTGCTAGAAATAATGTTCATTAGGTTTTGTCACTCATTTTTATCCATGGGCAAGAATGCCATGAATTAATGAGTTAAGAATATTCTTTCATCATCTGACTCTGAGCTTCAGTTCACCCTACGTGCTTTCTCTAAAGCACATTGTAATGTGGCAAGATTTGTATCAGAGTTCCATCGTTTCTTGTAATAAAACCATTGGTGGTGGTGATGGAGATGATGGGATGATTATACACCAGGCTCCAAAACCCGAGGATTTGCACTGGTACAGCTGCTTCCCCAGAAGTGAGTGCTGTCCAAAAATGGAGTGGTGGTGCCTGTGGCAGCAAGCTCCCTACTGAGTGGTCTGCAGATACCCATCTGTCCAGGAATGTTGCAGCAGGGGTTCCTGGGCTTGGGGGCTTGTGGTAGTTAATATGTAAGTTCCCTTCAAGCCAGTGGCTTCTATGTAGTACAGAGTTTTCAAGTGAAGGACTGAAAATTTGTTCTCTTACTGAGTAAAAAATATTGAGTGCTTACTATGGGTCAGTTTCTGTTCTAGTGCTTTATATGGAGGCGCTCATCTCTATGGAAGAGAGACTCTTGTCCTCAATTTACAGATGAGGAAATTGAGTTACATCTCACAGCTTGCAAGCGGTGGGACCAGCATTTGAACCTAAGCAGTCTGCTCCGGAGAATGTACTCTCAACTGCCATGAATTCATGAATTCCACTTAGAGAAAATAACTACTGTGGAAGAAGGATTCTGGGTAGTCATGGCATGTGAATAGATAATAGTGTCAGACCTGCAAGGAAAAATGTCACTCCAGCAAGATGTGCAATGAAGCAGAAAGGGTGTTGGCCTGGGATCAGACGCAATGTCTTACACTGAGCAAACCAGTTAACCTCTCTAAACCTTTTCTCACCTGCAAATGGGAATAATGAAGGGTGATATATTCTAACCTGAGCTTTTGTGCATTTCTAACATATATTTGGCTACTCATTTTTTTTATGTTTACTTCTTGGACCTCAGCTGTAATCACTATTGATTAGGCCCTAGATTGGCATTAGTGCTCAGAAATCAGTTTTTGGAAAAGCGAACAGAATATGGAGACAAAACCATTTTGAAAAGTTGCATTGGTTGTTATTAGAGATGGGAATGGAATGCGGAATTTTTTTATTTCTTGAAAAAAAGATAAGCTGCCACTAACTCTAGTAACAACATCTAACTTGAACAAAGGCATGTCGAAGGACTCCAGAAGATAAGCAGAGAAGAAAAAACAGTTGGATAAGTGAAAAATGCTAGTCTTTGAGTCACTGAAATTGTACCAGTGCTTATGAGCAAGGGTTGAATACAGGTCACAGGCAGTGGGCACCAGTACACTTTCTACAGTGATTTATATGTCAAAGAGCCCAGGCCCTTTCTCTTTTCACTAAAAGATACCAATACTTACAAGTGGTATAACTTTAGGCATAGTTCCTCCATGAATGCAGCCAGCCTGAGAACAACTTAATTGGAGGGCAGTCTAGTCACAGATCCAAGTGTCAATAAAATCTCTCTAAAAAGCAGCACTGTCCAGTACAGTCACCACATGTGGCCAAAGAGCGCTTAAAATGTGGCTAGTGCGAACTGAGAGGCGCTATGAGTGTAAAATATACACTAGATCTTGGAGACTTAGTAAAGAAAACATAAGTCATCTCAAAAATAATTTTATATATTGATTACATGTTGAAATGATAGTCTTCTGATATATTTGGGGAAATATATTAAAATACATTATGAAAATTCACCTGAGGCTTTTCTGTTTTCTACTTTTTAAAATGTGGCTACTGGAAAATTTTAAATTACATATGTAGCTCACATTATATTTCTGTTGATAACACTGCTGCCAAGTCACTCCTCAACATAGAAGAAGTTCACTAGGACCTTGGGATAAAGGGGCTCATATTCACCCCTATTCAATTATCTCTCATTCGGTTTCATCCAATGGTCCAGACTGTTAAGATGCTTTGGGATCCCTACTCAATCACCCAATATTTTGTGCCTCTTTACTTGATGTATGTGTCCTCTGTATTGGCTAAGACATCAAGATTTTCATCCAAACTGAATAAAAGTGCTGGCCAAAGAGTTGAATGCCAACCCTTGGATTTTGCCATGAAAAGCCTCTCCAGGTTGTTATTCATCAAAACATCAATGTAAAGTCATATCAACCTCCATGAGAATACTAATTTTGCATCTACCCGTATTTCTTTATTGTGTCAGGGTATGCTAAGACGCTTTGTTGAAATCCAGTTATATGACAGTCTGTTAGGAAACGAGGTATGTCAACATAACTTAGCCTTACTGAGTCCATATTGGGTCCCAGGAATGAGAACTTTCACATGTGGGTGCTTACAAGTGATGCCTCACTTGGCTGTCATGCTCTTACCTTCTAGAAAAATTGCCTGTCTCCAGCCTTTCACCCTCTCACTGCTCCATGGCACCTCAGAGCCACAGACGTGTTTAGCAACCTTCTGTATATTGTCTCGGTACTCTGAGATTTCATCCAGTCCAGAAGACACTCTCTTTTAAAGTGCTAAAGTGTTTCTTATCATCACCTCTCCCCTCTTGGGCTTCCATTTCTTCTTGATCATATTCATTCTACCTTCATATTTCAAACATCATTCTTTTTGACAGAATACAGAAGCAAAATGGGAGGTTTTATATATCATAGTGGTTAAAATGTACGAGTATAAGTTCTAGAACCAAACTACTTGGTTCCAATCAAATTCCAATTCTACCACTTACTAGTGTGCCTCAATTTTTCCAACTGTAAAATAGTAATAGTAGTACCTGTTTCATAGGGTTGTTGAATGATTGGACAGTTACAAATGGAATGCCTGGCTTGGGGAAAGACAGGCAAAAAAAAAAGCAAGTTAGTATCTCTATGTTGCTAAACTAAGGTTTGAAATGTTTATTTTTTTTTCTGGTTATTTCCTCCCCTCTGCAACACATGATGTGTCTCCAGGTGGCGCTAAATAATGCCGTACTAGCTGTAAAAATCAGTCCTGGGGCTCCGATTTTTAAAGTCATTTTCTGGTAATTTCCACTAAAAATCAAGCTATTAAGTAAAACAACAATAATGATAATTTTCAATGCAAACTCAGTGCAAAGAAATAATGCACCTTGACTGTGTCTGCCCTCCTCTCTTAGCCTCACTTAATCCTAATGTAGAGAAGGTAGATTCCGCATGGACTGGATTTTTATTTAGAGCTCAATTTAAATCAATAAATCAACAAATGTGTGCCCCTGAGAAATAATAACAGTTGTGGAACTCATTGTGTGAGGAACCAGGATAAATGATTAGGAACAATTTAGGTAATTAAAGCCTCTGCCTCTTGTAACAGGTCACTAACCTATGAGAATAAGAAATGTGACAGATGAGGTTCCCAGCAAGACATCTGATGACTCATCTCATGATAGCTCTTGGGGACAAAATGGACACCTACTGCTGGGTTCATAACTCACTAATTATGATTGAACATGTTGTTGATTGATTGAACATGTTGTTGATTAATGGAACAATGTCAGCCTGAATTGGGGGTAGTCTCTGTTGGCAGAAAACAGAGCTATGTCCTCAGTTCTGATCAGTTCAATACTTTTATTGGTGGTGAATGTCCAGGAAGAGAGTTTAAAATGTCAGGTGTCTACCGTGTGTGTAAGTTACAGAGTTTTCACAGCTCCCATATGCTTGTGAGTTCAAAAAGCCTCAGGACAGAGGCAGGACACAACCAAGCTGACCAGGCAAGCTCTGACTACTGCACAATTCTTGGGCTGGGGAAACAACTTCACCTGGAGGGAGAGGGTTGGGGTGCACCAGCTTCATCCACAGCATTGATGC